AAAAAAAAAAAAAAGAAAAGAAAAAGAGAAGAAAACACCTTGGAATTAAACAAATGAGTCAAAGAGAAAGAATAAAAAAATAAGAAGAACAAAGCCTACGAGAAATATGGCGCCTGTGGCTCAAACGAGTAAGGCGCTGGCCCCATATGCTGGAGGTGGTGGGTTCAAACCCAGCCCTGGGGGGGGGCGGCACCTGTGGCTCAGGGTGCTAGCCTCATATGCCAGAGGTAGCAGGTTCAAACCCAGCCCTGGCCAAAAAAAAAAAAAAAAAAAACAAGAAATATGGGATTATATAAAGAGGTCTAACTTAAGAAGCATAGGTATCGCTAAGGGCAAAGAAGAAAATATACAAGGACTGGAAAACCTATTTAAAGAAATAATGGAGGAAAATTTCCCAAGTCTCTCTGGAAATCTGGACATTCAGGTACTCGTTCAATAGACTCCTGGGAGACTCATCACCAACAGGTAATCACCATGACATCCAACTCCCAAAATAAACACAAAAAAGGAACGCCTATGAACCATGAGGTGACAGCATCAGGTAACTTACAAAGGAAAACCTGTCAGACTATAGACTTCTCACATGAGATCTTACAAACAAGAAAGGACTGGGGCCCCATTCTCAGTCTTCTAAAAGAGAATAATGGCCAATATAGAATTCTGTATCGTACGAAAGTGAGTTGGCTTTATTAGGAAAAAATAAATACTTTCTCTGACAAGCAAACACTGATGGAATATTTCAAGAGCAGACTCACCCTGCAGAAAGTAAGCATATCAGCACCATAGATACCCACCAGTGTAAAACCATCCAAATGCTAAATTAAAGTTCAGAGCCCAGATACCCAATGTTTCAAGAGGTCAAACAAAGCAATAAAGTTCTATACAATAATTTGAACAGAAATCCACCCTATTCATCAATTTTTTCAATATGAATGGCTAGGCTCGGCGCCAGCCACATACATCTAAGCCAGCAGGTTCAAATCCAGCCCCCATCGGCCAAATAACAATGATGATTGCATTGTTGTGGCAGGCACCTGTGGTCCCAGCTACTTGGGAGGCTGAGGCAAGAGAATCACCTAAGTCCAGGAGTTGGAGGTTGCTGTAAGCTGTGATGTCACAGCACTCTACTGAGGACAATAAAGTGAGACTCTGTTTGTTTAACAAACAAACATACAAGCCACTGGTCTGGCTTGGTTTCCTGGGAGGTGAGCTCAGCATACCCCATTTCCCTTCAGCCAAGCCTAGATGAGAGAGGCCAGGCATCCTCCCTGTGCAAGAGGCATTCAAATAAGGGGTCTCACCTGGGCTATCCAAGCCTCACATTAAAGAAAAAAAAAAAAAAAAAAAAAAGCCAAGTATTTGCTGTCTCCAGAAAACACATATAACCCAGAAGGACTCATTCAGACTCAAACTGAAGGGATGGAAAACAATACTCCATGCAAATGGGAACCAGAAGAAGAAAGCTGGTACAGCCATTCTCGTATCAGATAACATGGACTTCAACAAAAGTAAAGATGGGGCAGCACATGTGGCTCAGTGGGTAGGGCGCCAGCCCCATATACCCAGGGTGGTGGGTTCAAACCCAGCCCAGCCAAACTACAACAATAACAAAAAAATAGCCGGGCATTGTGGCAAGTGCCTGTACTCCCAGCTATTAGGGAAGCTAAGGCATGAGAATTGGTTGAGCCCAAGAGTTTGAAGCTGCTATGAGCTGCAACACCACAGCACTCTACTAAGGGTGACACAGTAAGACTCTGTCTCAATAAAAATAAATAAGGCTTGGCACCCATAGTTTAGTGAGTAGGGAGCCTGCCACACAATCACCGAGGCTGTCAGGTTTGAGCCTGGCCCGGGCCAGCTAAACAACAATTGCAACATATAAAAGCCGAGCATTGTGGCAGGCACCTGTAGTCCCAGCTACTTGGGAGGCTGAAGCAACAGAATCACTTAAGCCCAAGAGTGAGGTTGTTGTGAGCTGTGACACCACAGTGTTATGCCCCAACTCCATCTTGCTGAGGGCTTTCAACACTCCCCATTTAAGACAGGGTGCTCAGCTGAAAGAGTTCAGTAATAATTGCAAAACCCCAGCTTCCTCTTGTAAGGACTCCTCTTACTATGTGTTGGCTCTTATGAAATTCCACTTCCATTAAGGATCCCCCTCTCCTACTGAAAGCCTTTTATAAAAGGTATCCACCGTGGCTTCTAGGGGTCAAAAGACTTTGAGGCATGAGCCCACTCTCCGCCCCACCAACTCTTAAGGACCCTTGCCTAATTTGGACTCAGTGTGCTGCCATTTCTCTATTTCCTCCCCTTAGTATAACAACACACTCTACCGAGGGCAACATAATAGGACTCTGTCTCAAAAATAAATAAATAAAAGATAAAATACCTAGATGGTGCCTGCAGTTCAGTGAGTAGGGCACCAGCCCCATTTACCAAGGGTGGCGGGTTCAAACTTGGCCCTGGTCAAACTGCAACAAAATATAGCCGGGTGTTGCGTATGCCTATAGTCCCAGATACTCGGGAGGCTGAGGCAAGAGTATCACCTAAGCTCAGGAGTTAGAGGTTGCTGTGTGCTGTGACACCACTGCACTCTACTGAGGGTGATAAAGTGAGACTATCTCTTTAAAAAAAAAAAAAAAGTGAGGGGGTGGCAGGTTCAAACC